CAGCCCTCTGATGCCCTGCTCTCCCAGCCCTCTGATGCCCTGCTCTCAGCGCTCTGTGCTCTCTCAGCCCTGACAGCTGCTGCCGGCCGAGGGAAGCTGGACGTGTGCGAGTTGCTCCTGGGGCGCGGGGCGGCCGTGACGAGAGCCAACAGGAGGGGGATGCCCCCGCTGCTCTGCGCCGTCCGGCAGGGCCACTGGCAGGTCTGCACAGCCTGGGGGGTCCCTTGGGAGCGGGCCCCGATTCCTCCCTCTCCAGTTCTGAAATAAATTCGTGTGCATTTTGTAATGGGCGTTTGCAGCAACTTTCCTTCCAAACCCTTCGTATCACTTGACATAACTTACAAAAGTACATCGGCTGCACGACAGCCTGAGGTTGTAACATACCTGAAAAATAACCCGTGAGTTAAAATATTTCATTTCCTAGACCAAGATCAGAGGCCGTTTCAGATCCTCTGAGCTGCTGCTGGGCAGAGAGAGAACCTTGGAGACAGGAGCCTTCCTTTTTCTGGCCACTCCTGCCAGGACAAGGCCCTGCACTGCAAACAGTCAGGGCTTGAGCTGCATGGGATTTCCCAGGGATTGCTTTAAATAACACCTGTCCTCTGTTCTAAGAGTTCATGATATTGTGGCTGAAATTAAATCTGCCAATTTCATAAAATCATGTTGTCAGTAAGGTTGGAAAAGTCCTCTGAGCCCACCGAGTCCAACCATCCCCCAGCACTGCCAGGGCCACCCCTAACCCATGTCCCCAAGTGCCACATCCACACGGCTGTTAAATCCCTGCAGGGATGGGGACTCCACCACTGCCCTGGGCAGCCCTTTCAGGGGAGAAATTTTCCCAGTATCCAACCTAACCCTCCTCTGCTACAAGCAGTGTATTCTTAAATTGCTGTTTTCTATTTCAGATTGCTAAACTTCTAGTGGAGCATGGGGCTGACGTGAATTTAAGTGACAAGCAGGGCCGAACACCACTGATGGTGGCTTCTTGTGAAGGACATCTGAGCACTGTGGAATTTCTGCTTTCTGAAGGTAGAAAATAAATAGTGGATCAAGGCTGCACAGATGCACCAGAGACTGCATCTGTGTGTTAGGCAATTTTTCCTGTTCAACAGAACATCTTCCTAACAAAGTTAATTTTCATTTTACAGGTGCAGCTATTTCCTCTCTGGACAAGGAAGGACTGACAGCTCTGAGCTGGGCATGTCTGAAAGGCCACAGGGAAGTGGTTCAGTATTTAGTAGAGAAAGGTGCAACAACTGATCAGACAGACAAAAATGGACGAACACCCCTAGATTTGGCAGCGTTTTATGGAGATGCTGATATTGTAAGTATAACAATAGAAGAATTAAGCACGTACTAAATTTTCATAATACAAAACAGAGCTTAGAAAAAATATTGCCAATGAAAATGGAAAGAAAATTTGGGGAAGTAGTCAAGATGCTTACACTGCTCACATCCCAACTGCAGTGCAAGTGTTTGCTCAGAAAAGCATTTTCTAGATGAGGCAGAAGCCCAGAATTATGCTGCAAACCCATGGGGGTTCCCTGACAGGGCCCTGGTCAGGTGGTGCCTTCATGGAACAGAGACCCCAGGGAGAAGTGTAGGAAGAGGAAGGGCATTATGGACAGATCCAAGAGGTCAGCAGGGAACTAGAAGGAACAGCACGTGCAGCCTCTCACACTCACATTTGTGTTTCTGAGTCTGCACAGACAATGTCCTGTTTCAGAACAGCACTTCAGGTGCTGCCATGCAGGGAACTCACTGTGGCACTTGGTCCCATCCAGCCTTTGTCAGAATTAACTTGAAATTGTAAATAAGCCCTCAGGTTCTGCAGTGGCTTTGGTGGGTTCCTGACACTGTGAGTGTTTGTAGGTGACACTGGATAGACTCTGCTGGGAAGGGAGGGGTGTCCAGGCTCCGTCCTGTCCCCATGTTTGCTGTAGGTGGTTGTGCTGGAGCAGTGCCAGCTGCCATGTCCCCTCACAGACTGGTCCCATCAGAGTCTGTGCTCAGCCACTGGCTGGGGGGGATGATGCCAATGAAGAGGTGCAGAGCAGGCCCGTGGCTGTGGGTTGTGGGACCCGTCTGGGCAGGACTGTTGTGCCTCTTCCCTTCAGAGATCACTGCTGGTCACACTTGGGCAAGTAATGGCCTTGGAAAACGACCATTACTTCCATCCCACCTGCCACTGCTGCCAGGTATCCCGTGCTGTGTTGCCTCCAGTGGATTTCAGGTGGCTGTTCTGGCCTCGGGAGCGTATCCTCAGTGTATTTCTAGGAGGATATTTCACTGCTCTGCCTTTCCTGCCACAAGCCATGTTACAAGGCTTGTCTCATTCTTCTCCCAGGTGCAGTATCTGGTGGAGAAAGGAGCACTGATAGAGCACGTGGATCACAGTGGGATGCGGCCGCTGGACAGAGCGATCGGCTGCCGCAACACCGCGGTCGTGGTGACACTGCTGAGAAAAGGAGCTAAGCTGGGTGAGTGGAACTGCCCTGTCCCAGGAGAAACAGCTGCCTCCTGCTCTGCCAGGAGCAGTCATTTCTGTAAAACAGATTAAATAACTGGAAACACTAGATTTTTGCTGGTTGTCTGGTTTGCAGATGCCCACTCAAGAGAAAAAATCTTCTTTAAAGGCAGACACACACAACTCACTTTAGAAGTTTTATTCTGCTCCTTTCTGTGATGTGTGCTGAGGGTGAGGTCTGGAGGAGTCACTGTACGTGGTTACTCTGCCATGATATACTTAAACAAGAAAATGATGATTTACTATTAGTGATACATAAGTCTGACACCGTTAACGAATTAGATTAACAAGTTTTACATTAAAGTGACATTCTTTTAATAAATTATAGAATCATACATTTTTGCAAAGGGTAGGCAAAAAAATGTATGTCCAAGTCATGTATTATCAGTAGGCAAGTACATGGTGCAGTTGTGTATGTGATAACTGAATCCTTAGTACCTTTGAAATATTTCATATTTTTTGGGTAGTAAGTATGACCAAATACAGGTCCTTACTTAGGCCTGAGCTTTACAGTGGTGGGGCAGGGGGCAGGCAGGGGATAGATGTAGTTTAAACATGTGCACACCTGGATGATGATGAGAACAGGAATATGTGGAATAGTTTCACGCAGGTGGAATATCTCCTGAAGTGGGATTAGGCTCTCTAGGCTGATTCACTTTCTACTCTGAAAGCAGAAACACACTTTCTTCCCCTTTGTCAGAGACCCTGAAATTTAACTTGCAGGAAATGCAGCCTGGGCTATGGCCACCTCGAAACCTGATATCCTCCTGATTCTGCTGCAGAAACTGATGGAAGAAGGAAATGCACTGTACAAAGTAGGTAGATTCATACTTTTTATGATAACAGAATCTTGGACTTCTGCATGTGAGTAGATTAAATGTCTTTATACCTCCTTTTCGACTACATCATCTGGTATTTTACTGGTCTGTTTAAAAAAAAATAAAATGCGTGTATCATACATGATTTTTTCTGGTACTAGTAGTATTAATGCAAGTATTATCCTGGTCGAATACCATTAAACATTTGGAGTTCAGAAACAAACACAAACTGTAGTTAATGTGCAAGTTCTCTCACTGTGCTTGTCTGCCAGTATAGGCTATACTGCGTATATTTATTTTTTTAAAAATCTGTCTCTGTTTTCTACTTGAAGGGCACCTCTTGGTAGATGTCAAATATAAAATGCTTTTTTGCAACAGTATTGCAATATGAAAAGTTTGTGAAAAGGTTCTCGTTCCCTAAAATGTGCAGAAAGGCAAGATGAAGGAAGCAGCCCAGCGCTATCAGTATGCCCTGAGGAAGTTCCCGAGGGAAGGCTTTGGAGAGGAGATGAAAGCTTTCACTGAGCTGAGAGTTTCACTCTACCTGAACCTGTCACGGTGTCGCCGAAAAACAAATGTAAGATCTCACTGTTCCTCTGCTGCCTCTGGCTTTCGGAATCTGAGAATTCTCTCCTGCTGCACTGCTGGGGTGGATGTTTATTTGTGCTATTTTAGAATCCTTTTCACTGTACCCTGATTTTGGGCTTTGTTGTGTTAGCAATTGGGCAGTTCATAAGATGTGTGTTGCAGTGGGGATCTATTACAGCTAGTCTGAGGTCATCCAGTTATTTTGGAATGATGAACTGCTGCATATCTGTGGTACTTTTCAAAGACTGGATGGACAATGCTGCCACCACCCTTTGTTGTGACACAGCCCAGCCTGGTGCTGTGGGTGCTTCCAGGGGAGGCAGAGCCCCAGAGCCTGCAGCTCCCTCTGCCTGCTGGGGTGTAACTGGGGTGTTTGGTTCATTGCCAGGATTTTGGAATGGCTGAAGAGTTTGCTACCAAAGCTTTGGATCTGAAGCCCAGGTGCTACGAAGCCTATTACGCCAGAGCAAGAGCCAAGAGGAACAGCAGGTACTGTTTGATTCTATGGATCTCTCTGCACAGATTCTTTTTTAACCTTACATTTTTAATAACTTGTTCTCTTCCGCTAGTTCTATGTGGAATTTGCAAAGAAAAAGTTATTTTTTGTGCACTTTCCATCTGTATTAGGTCTCTGTATCAGTTAAAGCCAACCACACCCAAATAGCAATATTGAATACTTATTTAGGTAATCACTGGGCAGTCCAGAAAGTAACAAACTGATATGAAGAGGGATTATTTGAAGGGTAAGAGTGAATGGGTCTGCTGCTCACATGACTGAGCAGAATGTGGCCAACATTGTGCAACCCAGCCTTATCACTGCATTATTTATTACCAAGTTTATCTGTCATATATTAATGGCTGGTTTTATAGGACAGGATATGTTGAATCATTAGCAGTTAAAGATAAAAAACAAGGGGAGAGAGGAGGAACTATCTCTTCTAGTCTGGAAAAATGGCAAACTATAGAGGTATAGCTGAAGTACAGGGAAAGGTGCCTTTGGTTCACAGTGTCTCTTCTAAACAGCTCAATAGATAGTCGTGGAGTTCAGCAGGTTCCCTACTCTGGAGGGAACTGTGAAGGGCTTGTGAGATGAAGTGTCAGTTCCTACTGTTCCCAGCAGAGACTTCTGCTGCCTCCCTGCACGGACTGTCACAACACTCAGGGAAGGGCTTAGGGCTGGGTCTGTGGTTCACCAGAGGGAAGAATTTGCTGAGGTGGAGAACATCCAATTATTACATTGTCACCACCTGCAGCAGGAAATGACACATCAAGTATTTCTCTGCAGGTGGTGGAGGTGGATTAGTAAAAGGCAATGGTGGGGCTCAGATCTGCTCTGGATCTTCGCTGTTTACTTTTTTTTTTACCCTAAACAGAAAGTTACTTGCTGCTCTTGCTGACCTACATGAAGCCACTCAGCTGTGTCCCAGCAATCAGGAGATAAAACGTCTCCTGGCTCGAGTGGAAGAGGAATGCAAACAGTTGCAGAGAACACAGCAACAGAAACATCAGTCTGCACAGCTACTGGAGCAAACCAACAACTCTGATAATGAGGAGGGTGTTGTATCAGGCGTGAAGGAGAATTTCAGTCCTCAAGACAGGGAGGATGAACTGTCACACCCTGATGAATCTGTTTCCCCACCACAAAGGCTGCAATGTTCCTCAGCTGCTTCATCGTTCAGCAGGACCCTTCAGGAAGGTGTTCAGCAGAAAGCTCGGTCTGTGTCCCCTCAGAGCAGAACAAGCAGTAAGTACCTGAGAGAGCCAGGCTTGATCATGCAGCCAACAAAGCAGGCACAGATTGTAAAAACTAATCAGCACCTGAGCTCCATCCAGCCTGGATCTAAACCAGGAAGCAATCAAGGTAATACAAAGGCACAATCATCTGTGCAGCATCATCCCCTAAGTCCCTTGCCCGTCCCACACTCTAGAAGTCAGCATTTGGATGGGACAAGCACACTGTCATCTGGAAGCATTTCCGCAGATCCCAGTGCTGAACTGTGCAGTGAAAAGTTCACGTCCAGCCAGTGTTCCCATCCACAGCATCACAAGACTCTCTCTTCTCATTCTTTTGCCAGCAAGTCTAAACCCGCAGACAGGTCAACAGCCCCTGCTCAGATGAACTTTGGTAACACAAGGCAGCAAAGCCCTGTACCCAGTGCTGTCTCTTCGAGCTCTCCATCCAACAGTGTGATTCTGGCCAGCTCAGGCAGCAGCTTCACCTCAGCCAGCAGCTTTTCAGGCAGTGTTAAGGGGCTGGGCCCTGACGTTCGACTCAAGGAGAGTAACGTGAGTCAGGTTCAGGGTACTGAGCACCGACCTCGCAATACCCCATTTATGGGAATCATGGACAAGACTGCAAGGTTCCAGCAGCAAAATATGCAATCCAGTCGCACTTGGCACGCTCAGGCATCAGATGGATTATCCACAAACGTTGCTCCTGGGGGCATCCAGCCCTCAAACTTGGAGCAGTTCTCAGTGAAACACTACCAAACTAAAATCCCCTCTCTGGCTGCTGCCCTGGGAGATGGCAACCAGAGCAGTGTGCAAGCGAGAGACCGCGAGGAACTCCCGTGCCCAGTCCCTCCCCACTGTCCAGACCAATCCCCCAGCCAAGGTTCTCATTCATACCCCGATGCTGCAGCCAAACCCCCGTCCCACAGCAGCCAGGACGGGCCCCTCAGCCACACGGCAAAACCAAAGCGATCCTTCATTGAATCAAATGTATAAATCCTACTTTGGGTGTTTACTGGGTAAACCTGGCTCAGCACAGGGTGTGACTGCTCTCACAACACTCACTGGCTGGGCACAGCTAGTCCGAGGGAACAGCCCGTGCTGGCCAGTCCTTACTGGGATACAACCACTTCAAACTGTTCCTACCAGCACAGGACAGTGACAGTAACTGGAATAACAGACTTCTGTAGGAAGAGTCATTTAGGGTTGTCCAACCAACAGAGTAGGACCTCGAGCAGAGAAATCCTTTCCATTACATTTTACCATTAAATAGGACTTTCCTTTCACGTAGGGCTTCAATCTTGGCTTTTGGTTCTGTTGCATCTCACACGTAATACTTGTGCCTCTCCAGTGCTTAAGTGCTTACTTCTCACAGCAGTGTTAATGGAAGATAATCTGCTGCAGAATACTCAGATCTGTACATGCATGCATTTTTTTAAATCAAAGATAGTATTTTATCACTTTTTTAGTGGGATGTAATTTGGGTTGCATGATGTACATTTAGGAAGCATAAATAATTTGTGTATGAGTAAACTATAAGCAGGTTTGACATGTAAATATAACTATTTTTGGTAACTAGGAGAAATCAAATAAAATAAAGAGTGACATTTGCATGTGTATTAAAGAAGCTTTGACCATATTGGTTATTGCACTGAAGAACACAATATTATGGCCTATTAACAATAATTGCACTTTATATAGGTTATCTAATCACCTTTGGGTGCTATCTTAAAGCAAAATGATTTATTGTTTATTTGTGAAAAGGTACAGCAGTTAAATGCCTAGTGAGTGTTTTTATGGGAAACCTAACAAATGGATGGAGTGAAGATGAAAGTTTGAGGAAAAGTGTATGTGCAGTTGCATGACAGGATGAAGCTGTGAAGTTTTTTTTGGAGGAAATGAGGTTTTATATTGGCAAGAACATTCTGAAAAGGAACGGCTGCAGCGAACGTTGCGATGAGTGCAATTCGTTTGGAGAGCTCAGCTTTACACTCTGCCCATCGTGTTGGTTACAGTGCTCTGTGTCCAGTGGAAGCAGCTGTACCCAGCTCTACAAGTCCTTTTGGAGTTTGCATCATTATGCTTTAGCTTATTTATTGTTTACCGGTTCTTCGATATTTTGTACAATTCATATATTAGTCTTGTCCTGTAGTTCTATTTTTGCACAGCTACTGTATTTTTTTCCATACAAAATAAAGATGCTTAATATACCCGTGGGATGAGATGCAGTCCCTGATGGGATAGAATGATATAGATCCTATACTTTGCTATTTCTTACCTTCTGAAAGACTGTAGACTCAGAAGTCAGAAATGTAGTGAAAATTTTAAGAAAACTTTATTTGAAAAACTGTTATTACTTCATTTCTTGAACAGAAATACCACAAAGGAAAAATAACCAATAACTTTAAAAAGTTCTTTTTGAAACAGCCACAGATTAGAACAGAAATGGAACTTTTTTTCCCAGTTGTTTCTGATACAGTTAGTTCCTTTAGCTACACAGAATTCCAAAGTGGTTTAACATTTCTGCTGAGTCTCCAGCCAGCGAGTGATGGCCATTTTTAGTGTCCTGTTTGGTGTGAGCATAAGGGAGTGGAGGGGAAGATTGGTCATGGGACTAGAGCGTCTCTTATTGCTGATCCAGTGTTCCATTGCTTCCCTTTCATAGGAATAGCCATCTACAACAGAACCATCAACAGAAGCTCCTATTACAGAGGCTTGGGCACTCTGGCACTCTACAAATTTTAGATATTTAAATGAAAAAGGAAAGGAAGGAAATACATCCAAACAGGAAAAATTGAGATTAAGTCCATGGTCTGTGAAAGCTCTACTGTGAATATAAACAGGCCCATTTTTGTGTTCCCACACCTATCTTTATCCTCAAGTAATTTCAACTGATGTCATGTAAAGACATACCCGCTGCAATGACAGGATCCTTCATAAGCTCCCTTGTTATAGGACACAGGAACTCATCAGGGACAGGAACAGAAACTGAGATCATTGTCATCCTCAGTTCTTCAATCTTCTGGAGAATTTTACTGCGCAGGCCTAGAGACTCTGAAAAATTATTCATACATGAAGCAGACAGCACAGACAGGTAGGGCAAAGAGTCAGCAGCTGCTTCAGGAGACACAGCTACATCTCACCACCCCTCAAACCAAAAACCTGCAGCCAGCCCAGCCCCAGGACGTCTCTCCTGCTGCCCAACAGGAACCTGAATAAGGGAAACAACCAGTAAAACCAACACAGGCACAGCAGTGCTGCAGAGCCATGGTTGTGTGGTGATAAACTCCTAACATTTAGTTAAACTGGGATTTCAGTAGCACTGAAAATATTGTTCATCTTGGGCAGATTGTATTTTCCTGGTTTGTAAGAGCTTGAGCCGTGGCAGGTAGAGAGCAATTCTTCAAGTCAGTTTTGTCAGGCCGTAATTTTTATACCTTTGTTGAGTCCTTTCCCCACAGAGAACTCATTTTCAGCAGGTTATTGATCACATTCAGTTCTCACAGGACTTCCTCGTCAGTGTTAATTGATTGGCCTCAGCTGGGGATGCTGCAGCAGAGTTTTAGGCTACTTCAATGCTAAAGAAAACGTGCAGAAGCTGAGGAAGCCAGGGGTCTTTCAGGGATGACAATTCTGTCAGATTCCCAGCACCTGTTATTTCTAGAATTCAACAAAGCTGGCTGATACACAGAGATCCTGGGATCTCATACAGACCAAGTCAACTCACACACCAAACAATGGTAATGAAATAAAAAGGCATTGGGGGGGGGGGAATCCATGTATGGAACTCCTAACTTTCTTTTATTACAACATTTCAAAGTCCTTTAAAGATTAAAAACTATTTGGATTCCCATACTCTTACCAATTTTTAATTCATTAGCAAGACCTTCCTTGGTAAGATTCAGTAGCTCCTTGCCATCAATGTTATTCATTTTGAAAAGCCCAACAAAGTCTGCTAAATCTTGTGCACAGAGCCAGGCTGAAACATCATCCTCTGACCAGTCCTCAACAGCCACCGTAGATTCAGTTTCTACAGTATTTCCTTTGGAAATGAAAAAGACAGTTACAAAACAAAATCAAACCCAAAAAATCCCCAATCAAACAAAACAAAAAACCCCACAAAACCCAAAAAACAACCAACAATGAACCGCCCCAGTTCTAAGAAACAATGTCATTAATGAACTCTGGTTTTAAGTGTTCTCAGTACTATACATTCTCCATCTAATAAAAGAAATGCTTATTAAACATTATTTTGGGGAATAGGCACGATAATTTTTGTCTCTTTCAAAGTTTAGAGGAATTTAATCTCTCGGATGCCCACGTCTGTAAAATCTGAACTGAATAACTAAAAACCAGAAAAGTGGAACCATGTCACACCTCAGAGAGCAGACTAAAGCCTAAACTTATTCTTGTGCTTTGAACAAGATCATATGTACCTTTGTTTCACAAATTTTGGGTGCTGATGTATTTTGTAACAGTAGCTATCCTGGGTTTTTTTCACCTGTAACAACTGGTAAACTTTTTCTTGTTGACAATTATGCTTGCAATTAGCATATTTTCTGGTTAACCCATCACAAATGATGAAAGACAAAAAGTCTTTCAGCACTCTGGCAATAATATGAATCTCTTAAATGCTGTCCAGAGAGCAAGCAATGGCAAATATCAGAAAAGAAGATACAGCAGAATAATCAAATTAAGATACCTCTAGTATATTTTTCTTTAAAAAAATAACCAAATACCTCTGTAGGACTTCAATCAGGTCAGTTCAAAGAAAAGACCACTAACAGGCACACAATCCTGAGATTACACATTAACTGCAGGTAAGAATGTGGGGGGGTTGCATCTTCAGAAGGTGCTCTGAATTTAAAGAACAGATTACAAACAGTTCACACACTGACCTGCAGAGGGTTCCTTAAGGTCCAACTGCCATATGTGCACAGTTTTATCCATTGAGCCCGTGGCAAGTAAGTGACTATGTGGTGCAAAAGCACAAGTTGTAACATATCTGCAAATAAAAAAAGAACACAGTGTGAAAATTCACGAGAAAAAGACTTAATTTCTTTTATTAACAGTGAAACAGAATAATCATATTGAATTCTTACCTGGTATGCTGAGACAAGGTACGAAGGGTATTGCCAGTACTCTGTAAAACAGTTTTTGTAATTTTAAATCTTAAAGAATAAAAAGAACATTTCTTCACTTGCATGCTTCCTCTCAAAGTAAGGAATATTGCCTCTTGAAAGGTGACACAAGTTACCTTCAGAGAAGTTACACAGCCTTGACAAAGCTGATCAGCAGTAGAGGCAGAAATGCTCAAACTCCAGTAGTTTGAGCTGCCCAACATGATCAAAGTGCCCTATTTTAGGCTGAAATCTCTCTGTGTCCCATGAAGGCTTTTTGTCCCCACTTTTCCCCACAAACTCACAGGGGATCTCTGCAGATCACCCAGTGCAGACCCCCTGCTAAAGCAGGGCCACCTACAGCAGGTGTCCAGGCGGGGTTTGAGCATCTCCAGAGGAGAATCCACAACTAGAAAAGTTATTGTCCCATCTGATAAAAACCAAAGGCCACAAAAGCTGACAAACAGTATTAAGAAATACTTATGCTGTGGTTTTATGCATCTTTTAATTTTCTGAAGCTCCAAAACTCTGGAGGACTTCTTACATACCTGTCTAAACTTCAGCCTACTAAAATAACTGGACTAAAAACTGTGCAGGTATCATATTAGTGATTTTGGTGAAAAATTTTAACACTAATTTAAAAATTGTGTCAATACAATAGGTATGTGCAGAGCAAGCTGAAGAAGCTTAAAATTTGTTCATCCTCCACTTTCAGCAAAATTATTATTTTTTTTAATACTAGAAAGTACTAGAGGTAAATAGCACTTACAGGTGAACCAACCACGAAGGATGTAAAAACATTAATACAGAAAATGCTTAAACAATATGTTTTAAGGAGAAGACACTGTATTTAACATAATTTTCTTGAATTATTTATTATGCTTCTATTTTATCTGCATTTTATATACAAGTAACTAAAGAATTTCTATGATCACCATTCCCAATTTTATGTCAAAAGCTACACTCCTCCTTGCTTTGGAAGCTAGGCATGTTAGGATAAACAAAAAATCCTGCTTCAATATGAACATAACTTGTAAGTATGGAATTAATTGAATAATACCCTACTGCAGAGAAATCAACAAATCCTCAAAATGTAGATAAAAAGTGAGAAAGACTGATCAGTTCTCAAGAGACACTTTTCCTTAGACAATTCCCGCTCCTCCCTCCAAACACACAGTAAATAATTTGGGATTATATAGTTTCTATTCTTCAGTATTCCAGCCGAAGCAGTGCTGACATTAAAAGACAACAACCCAATGAATGGTCTGCACTATGCTATACTTACAGTTTCATAGATTATGACACACTTGTCCACAGACCTTTAAAAAAACCAGACATTAAAATGAAGCAGAGAGGGAAAAAGAAACTTTTTTCATGAAGAAAGGAGGAAAAACCTTTTTTTGCAAACAATGTAAGATCAAACATATTTCTTAACAACACCTGATGCAAAGTTTAGATACCTATCTCCTCTCCACCAGTGCCCACCTTAAACAACACTGACCAGTGTGAAGTAAAACACAGCCAATACGAAAACTCTGCCCTTGTATGAGAATTCCCGAGGCAAAGGATTTGCACAGTTGCTTTTGCAAATTGGCCCCCACTGTCTCTACCATATCTCTGCTTTATGTCTTTGCAAGCAGCATCTGTAAAGCGAATGCACAGTCTGGCTGTCCAAGATCTGCTCTCAGCCCTTCTTATATTTGAGACCTTTCCATTTGCAAAGCAAGCCAGAGGAAGTCGTGTCATGCAATACATAAAATATAGCTGTGCAATGCAATCAGTACATACATATTTCATGAAATACAAACTGCACAGTTATTTACCATGGCAGCAGTATTTCCTGAAAGATTTTATGGGACAGACATTTCACTTGTGACAATGTAAGTGAAAACAATAATCTGTACGTCTAAGGGAAAATAAAATAACTCTACATCACAAACATTCATGATATTCAGATACTGAAAAAGACTCCCTTAGAAAGAATATAAAGCAAAGTGTCAAAGCAAGCTATTGTCTCCTGGGATTTGTTTAGTTTTAAGTTTATTTGCTGGCAATTGTAGTCTTTTCTTTTTCCTTTGCAAGACATCAGC